TTATTTAAAGAAGAAGGTAAAACCATAACAGCATGGGATGTACTACTAAATCAATTGTCTTCATTAACCGTTAAGGGTGTTTGCTTTAAATCTAATTCTCCAGATGTTTTCTCAACGTTTCAAGGTTATAAATACAACATTCTCGAAAAACCAGATTACTCAAAAATTGAAATGTTTATGAATTTCATTAAAGAAGCCATTTGTGATAATAACGATGAAGTGTATAAATACCTTCTCGGCTGGATTGCATCAATGATTCAACATCCTGGAATCAAGACTGAAACAGCAATTATTTTGAAAGGACTTCAGGGAACAGTTAAAAACAGATTCACAGACATTATTTCTGAACTTCTCGCTGGTTATTCATGCAAAAACATTACCGAAATAGGTGAGCTAACGGGTAATTTCAATTCAGTAGTTGAGAATAAAATGTTTCTTGTACTTAATGAACTCAAGAATGTAGGCGAAGATAGACTCGCAAACTTCAACGCTTTGAAATCAATTATAACGGATAATGAGATTAGAATTAATGAAAAGAATCAACCCAGAAGAACAGCACAGAACGTTGCAAACTTCATTTTCGTAACTAATAACGTTTACCCTGTCAAAATTGAAGTTGGAGACAGAAGATACGTAGTTTTAAGAGTTAATGGTAAATTTAAGGGTCAATTTGATTACTTCAAGAATTTAATGGATTCATGCACTAAGGAATTTTATGATAATTTACTAACATATTTTATGCAATATGACCTTTCATCATTTAATGTACGAATTCATTCCGATGACTGAAGCCAAACAAGATTTAATTGAATTATCAACAAATCCTTTAGATGTATGGATAAATACACATTATGATGAATTGTGTGCAGGTATGACATGTAAAAATGCTCTATTCTGCAAACCATCAGACATGAAAGACAAAAACTTTCAAATGAGCATTAAAGATAAATGTGATAAGAAACAGAGAAGAATAGATGGTAAACAAACATGGTGTTATGTTTTGAAAGAAGAAATGAAAGGATTATATAAACAGGTTGAACCAAACGATAATGAGGATTCATTTACTGACGATGAAATACCTGTAAATGAAGCTTTATAAAGTATGATTTGAATTTATTTTTGCATTAATCCCACCGTGTTGTCAAAATGTCATGTTGTCTCATTTTTTCAGAGAAGTTAATTAACCGAGTGACACATGGTGACGTAGTGACACCCTCAGTTCTTCAAAAATAATTCATAAGTGCCTTCCTCATTAATCCCACCGTGTTGTCAAAATGTCATGTTGTCTCATTTTTTCAGAGAAGTTAATTAACCGAGTGACACATGGTGACGTAGTGACACCCTCAGTTCTTCAAAAATAATTAATTATTGAATAACCTAAAAACCATTAACGATAAAATAACTGATAACAAAATTTTATTTTTATATAAATGGATACCCCACAAGCTCAAAATTTACCACGAATCATAACAAGGGAGGAAATGATAAAAATGATGCAAGAACAAATTAAAAACAACAAACCACGAAAACTGAGAAGATGAGGAATAAAAATTAAATTTGGATTGAGTTTAAAAATTCATCTTTATTAAATTCATCTCTTCCAATCAATTTATTTATTCTATTAAATTCTTTTATTTTTGCTTCACTCAGTTTAAGGATTGAACGGTAAGTTTCTAATTTTTCGATTATTTCTTTCCTCTCTTTATCGTTTTCAGCCCCACCGCATTGGGGCTTCTTTTTGTAATAGCATATTTTTGATTTAATTCTGTTTTGTTTCTTTTTATATTCATCGTCTGGACTCTGAATCTTAATTGAATCAGGACTCTTGGATGCTTTGTTGTCACTCATTTCTTACGAAATAAAAAAATTAAATATTATTTAAATATAATGGAGTAATAAAATAAATCGGAATTTCTATTAATTTATTGTCAACTTCAACTAATGCATTGCCGTTAATATATCTAACAAATTCAGCTATTGTGTCAAATCTTCGTCTTCTTTTTGTCATTGATTTATCAGTTTTTCCATAATCGAGATGAATCAAAACTTTATCCCCTTGTTTAAAATTCATGAGCCCCGAATTAATTTGTTCACGTTTAACATCATTTAACCTTTCCATTTGCTTTCTAATATATTCCCATTCTTTTGAAATATCATTTTTCATTTCCACTGGTTTCATGTTTATAGTTCTATGCCATGTATTATTGTAATAATATACTAACTGCTGTATGATGGAATCATGATTTCCATCCCAGTATATCTGACCGTTAACCCCTAACGCATCTCTAAGAGTTCTCATTACCGCATCAACTATTTTATTATGAAACGTATATGGAGAGGATGAAAAGTAAAAATTAATTTGTGGGAAATAATGAGCCATAGCTGCCTGAAATCCTTTATCACCATCACCCCTTATATTATCTACTCTTTCATGATCTAGTAAGTATTGTATAGCTCTTCTTGTTTCCTGTTCTGTTTTCCCTTTCACCGGAATGCAATATAAATATCTGGTGTTAATGTTAATGGCAAATAAATAAGTAACGTTTCCTTTTGAATATTCTAAATGATCGATTTCGTATGAATATGGATATGGTGCAAATGAAGGGCGACTAAATTTTTCCTTTAACGGTTGAATTTTTGGGTCAGTTGGTTTATTTAATATCTTGAAATCCTTTTTAAAATCTTTTTGCTTCTTTAATGTTTGAAATGGATATAATAAAGTGAATGATGAAGGATTAACTGAAGGAGGAGGAGGTACTACTGTTGGAGGTTTTGGTATTGCAAGTGATTTAATTTTATCTGCTTTGATTTTGGATGATGAAGTTTTGGATTTCATTCCCCCTTTCATTAATTCTGGATGTATTCTATTCATTTGTTTTAAATATGCTGTATATAAAGGTTTGATATACTTTCCCGCTTCGAGTTTATGTTGAAGGATGAATTCCAAAAGTTGATCTTCATTTAAAAATCGGGCTGAATATGATTTAACTAATGAATCATAAATTAAAGCTTGTGCTTCATTTATGGTCTGAAGGACCTGGGCGTTTTGCATCTTTAGCTGTTGAACATTTGGTTTTTGCGGCTCAGGATTATATAATTTATATAATTCATCAATATCTTCTTCTGTTAATACTTTATTTTTGAAATCTTTCAATTGTTTAAGTTGTGATTTAGTTTTTCCCTTTGTATATTCATTATTTTTAATTTTGTCTTTAATTTTAGAAATTATTTTATCATGATATTTCAAAATTTCATTTTTATAATATGGATAATAATAATCCATATCATCACCCGTTATATTTTTATCATGTTTTTGGAGATATGCTTTTAAATCATAATAATCAAGAAAATTTTGATTAAATACTAAATCATCAATTAAAATTTTTAAATCTACATTATCCATTTATATAAAAATAAAATAAATGTTTTAGGGGTGCCCACCTCTTTGAATCATAGTATCAAAACCATTATTTACATATTGAATCACATCATTAACGGTTCCTTTTGTCTCTTCTGTGGCATTTTATTAAAAATAAAATTTTAAATTCATGACTCAACCCCTACGTTTTTAAATTGTATTAAATAAATGGCATACAACATCCATTTTCACAACATACAGCCTTAGTGTGTGCTCCTAACTTAGTTCTAAAGGTTTTTCTACAAAATTTAGGAATTCCATCCTCTTTAATGTCATCAATGATTTCCATTTCATTATTTTCAATTTCTTCTTCTCGTTTATGAGGTCTTTGATTATGACTCCATTGATTCCATGAAATTAAATATTCTTTATCATTATATTTATACCTCATTAGCTTATTTTGGCTTTCATATTCATTTAATAATTCACAATCTTCATTTTTAAATTGAAGTTTAACCCATTCAGGGTTTAAACAATGTTTAATTAATCGCGGAATATCTGACATCATCTATATATAGCTTCTTTTATAAAAGATAAAAAATAAATTATTTTAAAATTAATGTTAATTTTTTAATGATTTATAAATATATTTTAATGCATCGTCTATATATAGATGTAACAAAAAAAGTCACACAACCCTTCATACCCTACTACTTTCATTTCAGAAACTTTTGTGAGAATATTACACTTAGGAAAAGCGTTTAGCATTATGATGCCAATAATAATGCCAATATTTTTTGTTTTCAACCGTTGTAGATCCGAAAATGAATAAATACGAAAATAAAAATGAAATATCAAGATATGATAGAAAACTATTTTGCAATCATAATATTTGAGGTAAAATCGATTTCTCCAAATTCACACATTTAGATTAATAGTTGGGATAAAATAGCTTAATATCGCAATAACAATTATTTTTTGAACAAAAGTTCTGTTCAGATCAAAGTAGAAATTAATTTTCGAGAACAATCATTTCATGTTTTCATTTTTAACATCATACCTCGTGATAACATGAAAATTAATGACATTTATAGGCTTCAATTATGCAATCCGCTACATTTTTGCGTGATTGATTTCTTTCATTTATCGGTGCGAAGCGTCACTATTAGACCGATAAAAATTGAGAAAGATTTTGTAACTTTACATTTTCAACATGTCTTAACCAGATTACACAGCCAAACTTCTTATCTGGCACATTAATCTAATACCTCCTTAACAATCCTATCTTAAGATTCAATAAATTTGAAAAATTAAATAAAAGTTCATAGAGATCAAACCTCTTGTAGAATGCAAAAATAACATATCTGATACAATTTAACAATAAACTTATTTTTTTTTACATAGTGAATATAAAATAAGTTAGAAAAAAATAAGTTTATTGTTGAATATCATAATCATTTCGAACTCACTAGTAGCAATGTGTCATTTGATATCCATGATCTTACTCAAAATTACTAAATTGTATCCGAAATTTTGTGGTCATTGTTTTCCACATGTATAACATAGAATTTTCTCCTTCAAACATGAATTCTAAAGATACATTTTATTGTCAAATGCAAGTAAAATACTTTTAATTTTTTTCATGTCTGATCAAGATATTCACCCAAATAGATACATTGAATTGCGAAGTATCTATAAAAACTACATCGATTTATATAATGCGTTGTATCAGCTAAAAACAGAAAATGAAGGAGAATTAAACTCAATTTACAAAATGATCAAAACAGAACTGATTGATTCAAAGAAATTTCTTCCCCAAGATATCATCAACAATATCTTCAATATCATTCCGTATAATAATCGTTATACAAATTCATATTTTTCTCTTGCCAAACTCATATCTGACGAATATCGTGTCAAAGAGGTTAAAGAGGTTCCAAATCTCCTGTATTATTATGAACATGGAATTAAATTAGACAAATCTGAAGATTTCGAAAAAATTAAATCAGAAAATCTTGATATTCATGCAGAAAATACAATTTACCGAGCAATTATGTATAATGACAAAGAAAGATTCATCATATTCACGGAAAGAGAAAAATTTGATAAAGATCAAAGACTCATTAGCAATTTGTATCCATATTCAAGCTACCGATATTCATTACTTGAGTTATGTTGTTATCATGGAGCAGTTGATTGTTTCAAGTTGTTAAGAACTAAATTTAACTCGAAAATAACCGAAACATGTTTACAACTCTCATTTTTAGGAGGAAATCCAGAGATCATGAGTGAATGTTTGAAATATCAAAAATCAGATAAAAAATGCATGAAATATGCAATTATTTCACACAATATTGATTTTGTTACATTTTTGATGAATGAGTACAATATAGAGATCGATTTAGAATATTGTCAATGGTATAAAAATCTTGGATCATTTTTAGTTTATTACGATCAAACCAATAATATCAACAGAAGTTTTGTTGAATCAATAGTTTTCAATATTCCATCTCTTTGCAAATATTTCCTATCAAATGGTGCAAATATTAATGAACAAGATGGAATTTATAGGACAGCTCTTCATATCGCAGTTTATTTTAACTATAAGAAATAACAGAACTTCTTCTTTCACATGGTGCAAATATTAATGAACGAGATCTGCGTGGAGATTTCCCTCTTATTACTGCAGCACGTTACAGTAATAAAGAATTAACCGAACTTCTTATTTTACATGGTGAAAAGATTAATGAAAAAGCTGAAGGTGGGACCATCGCTCTCATTTGTGCAGTAATTAACAATAATAAAGAAATAGCCGAATTTCTTATTTTACATGGTGCGGATATTAATGGTGAAGATGAATTTGGTTTTTTTGCTCTTCGAATTGCAGCAGAAAAGAATTATAAAGAGATGGCTGAATTTCTTCTTTCGCATGGTGCAAATATTAATAAAAAAGGTGTATTAGGAAGTACAGTCCTTATATATGCAGCATATTATAATAGTAAAGAAACAGCCGAACTTCTTCTTTCACATGGCGCAAATATCAATGGAAAAGATAAAGATGGAAAAACTGCTCTTCATTATGCAGCAAAAAATAATAGAAAAGAAACAGCCGAACTTCTTCTTTCACATGGTGCAAATATAAGCGAAAAAGATAAAAATAGGAAAAACCATTCTTCATCATGCAACATATAAAAACTGTAAAGAAACCACTGTAAAAGATGACAAATATACATGAAGAAAATATCAAATTTTAGATATTTTAAAGATACTATCTAATAGAAATATAATCTTTCAGATAATTTGAACCCTCCCAATTTGGAAACGTCAATTTATCAAAACAGTAATTCATTTTCATAAATGTGCTTTCATTACCAAGACACCAAGCGAAAATTATCAAGGTCATTTCAATTTTCCTTTCAAAAGTATTCTTATTTTCTTTTTTTGGACTGAAGAATCAATCAAGAATAAAATGCAATAGTTGAATCTTTATTTTTGAATTTCAAAATCTTGTAGAGTCTCCAGATTTCGAAAAACGTCTCAAAATTTTTCATGAGCGAAGAAGAAGATTTCCCAGAACCACCACCAAAAGTGGTGAAGAAAGAGGAACCTAAGAAGATTCCGAAAGGGAAGAAGTACAAGAAGCGCCTTCTTGTTAATCTCGTTCGAACACATTATGACCTAGTTCATCAAGTTTTCGCAGACATGGGCTGGGAAGAAACTGAATCAGAAGAAAAGTGCACAATGTATTGGACGGATGCAGGAGGATCATCTGAAATATGTTCTTCCCTTCAACCTTTCCAATTTTACAATCATTTTCACGCTGTGTGGGCAATCGCCAGAAAAGTCGAAATGCTTCGTAATTACGAAAAGTTACAATCCCAATTACCTGAATTATACACATTTCAACCAAAATCTTTCTTATTACCAGGCCAATTCGCTGCCCTTAAGACTTTTATGCTAGCACAGAAGGAAAAACAGACAGAACCAACTACATTCATCGTTAAACCTGACCGAGGAGCTCAAGGGAGAGGAATTTTCCTTATTCAAGAGCCAGAACAAGCAGAATACTACACAGAATCAGCGGTTGTTCAGCAGTACATACCTCCATTCCTCATTGACGGATATAAATTCGATTTAAGATTATACGTTTTAATTACAGCTGTAAGCCCTCTCAGATTGTATTTCCATAACGAGGGAATGGCTCGTTTCTGTACTGAGCCTTATATAGCTCCTACTTCATCAAATTTATCTAAAGTTTTCGGACATTTGACAAATTACTCATTAAACAAGAAGAACGATCACTTTCAAAAGAACACAGATCCAAATGATGCTACAAAAGGCAGTAAACGCTCATATTCTTTCGTTTTAGATACAATTAAAAAGATGGGTTTAGATACCAAAGAATTACAGCGAAAAATCGATAGAATTATACGTCTTACAATCGCTTCAATACAGCCACGACTCGAACATCAATACAAAGCTACTGTTTCCGTATCAGATGACAAATGTCGTTGTTTTGAGATTCTTGGCTTCGATATTCTCCTTGATTCATCACTGGAACCATGGCTTATTGAAGTTAACAACATGCCAAGTCTTTCAACAGATTCTCCTTTCGATAAAAAACTGAAAGATTCAGTTTTGAAAGGAACTCTTACTATTCTGGACATTCCGAAAGGCTTCAAGCAGATTGTAGCTGATGAAGAAAAGGCTGTTACTCAAATGAGAATCACAGGAACAACAGAACTCCCAAGATTTAAGATATTCGACCCAGAAAAGGAAAGTGAGATAGCCAAAACAACAAATTGGCGTCAGATATATCCATTAGCACCAGACGATCCGGAACAAGAAGTCATGGATACAGCAATTAAAGTTGCTAAATCAATGCCGCTTGTTGGACCAATAGAAACGACAACAACGAAGGCCAGAAAGGAACACATTGACCAAGGCATCCAAGAAAACGAAAAGAAAGAAAAAGAAGCCCTTCAAAAAAGAGTTTTCGCAAATACCATAAAAAGTGACATTTCGAAGCCCGTAAATAAACCTTTGAAAAGTGAAGTTCCCCGGAAAAAGAAATTAATCATCCCTCAATATAAGACACCAGAAAGGAGGCGTCTTGCGAACATAGCAACAAAGAAGTCATTGTCTTCTTATTTAGCCCAGTTAAATTCAAATTCAATCTTCAAATCAATGAAAGGTACTGCTTTCAAGATGGAAGAAGAGAAAAACAGAATGGCTGATGTAAGGAGACAGGTGCAATCGGCAGATGACGAAAATATGCTTAGATGTATCATGCAAATGATAAATTACAATAATCCACAACCTGAGAGCGCGGATAAGAACCCAGCGAAACCAGCAAAAGGAAAGAAGTATTTTGTTAATGTTTTGAACATAGGACACTTTCCCAATTGCAATTTCCCTTCAAAATAAAATGTTTGTATTTTTATTATGTTTTTATTTAAAATCACATATCGTATTCGAATTTTTAGTAGATAAAACATGAAATTGTAACGCCTGTGCTTTATTTCATTGATCACTAATGATTTTCGATTATCATGTTTTGGTAGATAAGATAACTTGAGTTGAATTCCAATGAGCTAACATATGTGTTGATAAAGGAATCATATAATCTTGATTTATCGATACATTTCTATGTCGTCAATATTTTTCTTTGTATTTAGAAGAATCTCCATCATTGTTGACATTAGATAATAGTTAGCCAGGAAATGGAATGGGTGCAAAGCCATTATTTCTTTTATTAAAAATTATGTCGCGCCGGAGAGACTCAACAAAAGGAAATGTAATGATTTTGACTATGAAATTATAATATCACATTCATATACTTACTATCCATTACAAATAAAATTGGTTAATTCCGATGTTTCAAATCAATTTCAAAAAATTGTGAATGGTCGCAATTATTTTTTCAAATCATCTTCATTTTTAAAGCGTATACAATTTCAAGAACCGAACTACTATAAAATCTTTTTGCCAATTTATGGCCCTCTCAATAATAACCTTCTCAAAAGGTGTATATTCAATTTTGATAAAACAAAAATCATTGGTTAGTCAGTGACTATTATCATATCTGAATACTTATAGAACAATTTTTAGTAAAATCTAACGATGCGTAATTAGTAGTATATGATGAAGGGTTTAGTGACGTTTTTTGTAACCGTAAGAATTCATGCAATATCGAGCGATTTTGTATCATTTTTTAACATATGAAGTAAAAAATGTATGATTCTTACGGTTTTTATTCTTACGTTTTTGAATAAATCAAGATTTAAAAAATTTTCAAAATTGTAAGACATTTACACTCAGCCCATACATAATGAAATAAATCATTAAAAAATTAACATTAATTTTAAAAGAAGCTATATAAAGATGATGTCAGATATTCCGCGATTAATTAAACATTGTTTAAATCCTGAATGGAATCAATGGAGTCATAATCAAAGACCTCATAAACGAGTAAAAGAAATTAGAAATTCATGTCTTACATTTTTGAATAACTGAAGGTGTCACTACGTCACCATGTGTCACCTGGTTAATTAACTTCTCTTAAAAATGATGACAACATGACATTTTGACAACAGGTACGAAAGGAGGAAGGCATTTATGTCTTACATTTTTGAATAATTTATTTTTTAAATTCATGACTGTGAATCAAGTAGACGTTTATAAAGGTAAGTTTAATATTAAACCTATTGTTTTTGCATTTAATGATAAATTAATCGAAAATTGGGAATTAATTCCGGATAAATGGTTTAAACAACAAAACCACCTCACTAAAGTTCTTTGTAGATTAATGATTAAAACTGAGGAAAAAGAAATTTGATGAGTTCAACATAGAACTTTAAGAAACTAATGATTATTTGAATTTATGATATCAATTATTTGATTCATTCTTTCTTCAATCTCTTCTATTCTTTTTGTTAAATCATCAAATTTCATTAATGAGGTGATTCTTGATTGAGGAATAGATTTCAAACCAATCACTCCTTTTATTTTTGAAATTTTGAATCCATCAACTTTAAACATTTTATTCAATTTACATGTTGTCAATTCTTCAAATAATTTTTTATTATTAGCATAATAGTCATTAAATTCTTCAACAGATGAAAAAATTTTTATTTCAGTAATTGGTTTAACAACGTTTATTTTTTGTTGAACATTTTCACTTTCATTTATTTTTAAAATCGGTTTCATTTATCATTAAATAAAAATTAGAATATAAGTGATGAAATATATTTTTTTAATTAATATTAAATCAGAAATGGCGGCAGGATTCTTTAAAAAATTATGGGATGGAATTAAGAAAGCTGCGGGTTGGGTTTATAAAAAGATTATTAAACCCGTTGCAAACTTTTTGGCACCAGTAGCGAAAACGGCAGGAACTATCATAGGTGGAGTATTAGGTACTAAAGCAGGTAATCCGGCGATGGGAGCACAAGCAGGTAACGCAATTGGTGGAATAGCTGAAGGAATACTTAATAAAATAGGAGGTAAATAGTGGAAAAATAAATAAATATTATTTTTATCTTAGTATCGGTTGTAGTCTTTGATAAACTTTTTCTCCTTTATTTAAAACTTCTCTTATTGAGGCAGCTTTCGGTGTTATTGATTTAGCAACGTCACTAATTGCTTCTTTATTCTTAAATATCCAATTTGCCCCCTTCTTCAATGTTTCCCAAACTTTACTCGCTCCTCTTTTTACTCTATTCCACAGTTTCTTAAATATACCTGCAGCCATAGTTGATTATTTCATTAAAATTAAAAATTCATTTTCATCTTTTAATTTTGATTTTTTATTTATTAATAAATGACGACTAACTATTTAGTGCCAAACACCAAACCGATTAATGGAAATGTGTTTCATTCATTCGAAAAGATAAATGAAATATTCGCAAAGAATGACGGTAGAAGATATTATAGAGAACTTGAAAGTTCATGCTATGACTCTGATGCTCCATATTTTGATGATAAACAAACTCATTTAAGAATTACAAATCCGGCTCATGATGTGAACCAATTAGGTGACACATATATTAAACGCAAAGTTAAAGCAACTCTAGTTTCAAATAAAGCTTTCACATGTGATGCCGCTTTTAAATGCATGCGTTTATTCGTTGGTTACAAATCATCAAATCAAAGCTTTAAACAATTAGAAGTAGAAACTGAAAGAGGTGATGCCGGTTATCTTCAGATGGATTGCGCCCGTGAATCTTTCGCATTTGCAACATATAAACCAAAATCAGAAAGGAAAGTTAAAAAGTTTGTTCATTCGTTATATAATAATGTTCAAAAATATGATAACTCAGTATGTGGTAAATATATTGACCCTTCAGAAGTTTTCAAGAAAGCAAATGAAGAAGTTGATATCACTTTTGATATGATTATTCCAGTAAATGATTTGTTAGCATTTCAGGCGTTCGATGATTATCCTAAATCATTTGGTGATATCATTCTTAAATATTATGTTTTCAGGGATACTTTAGTATTTTGTCAGGTTGACCCGTTAAGAGTTGCTGATTTACAAAATTACGTTTATGAAAAGATAACTGATGAAAATTATGAAAAGATTATGAATCATGTTTATAAATATGATCGCAAATTCCAACAAATCGGACTTCCTGCCAAATTAATTACAAGCTTAGCCGCTACATCTGCTGACGCAACAGTTGATGACGTTATTATTTCATGCACAAAGATGGAAGTTTTAGAGGATAAATGCATTACACCAGGATACGGTTTAATTGAAGAATCAGTTAAAGCAGTTAGTATCCCTAACTTGGGTACTGTGGCACTGCGCGCCTCCGTACACAACTTAACGGTTTTGACACTTTACGAAACCGATAACGTATATTTTACAACACAAACACAAACACCAACTTAACCTTAAATATTTACAAAACCATCTGATACATAAACGACTTCACTAACGACTTCACTAACGAATTCCCTACCGTCCTCACTAAATAAAAATAACCTTATTTTTATTTTTTTTAAATTTTTTATTTCATTACAAAGACATGTCCGACTACATTTACTATGACTCTTTCCCAGAACGTTTCCGTGAACTATTCAAAACTCAAGTAAAACTGAGAAACATGCATTTTAACAAAGACAGACCCATTGACGATGAAAGAAACCCTGAATATATTACAATCCCTTATGACGCAAAGTTCATTGCATACATTCCTTATGGTCGCAGAGGAACGAAAACTATTTCAACAAAGAACAAAAATTATTTCTGGAGCGATGAAGAAAATTGCCTTATCTACATAAATGCATACTTAAATAAAGCTACATATTGTACAAAAGAAGGTTGGACTGGATTTGAGCTCTACATATACGACGACGATGGAAACAGACGTTGTGTATACCCATACGATAATATGTACCATTGTTTTCATCAAGCATTAAACGAATACATAGTCAGTAAGGGTCTCATTCCTGCTGAGTAGAAATGTTATATTTTTGTTCCCACATTTATTTAAAAATTAATGATATCACCATCCTCACACGTATGAAAACATAGCGCAAAAATAAATTTAGGTGAAGTGGTGAAATCTCACCTCTTTTTTCACCTAGCCGCTTTGCGGCTCTGACCCTTTGGGTCTCTTTTTTCACCCGTTGAATTCATTGCTTTATAACTCTCTGTCGTCTGCTTTCTCCAACTCTTCTAACTTCTTCTTAAGTTCAGCAATGTTGTCCTCATGAAGTTTAATCTTCCTTAATATACCTTCTTTATCTAATGGTTGCTTTATCTTTCTAAACTGAACTCTACCATCCTTCATAGTATGAACGTAAAAACCTTCTGGAATAGTTCCTGATTTAATGTATTCTACCAAAAATTTTTGTTTCATTGCTTCAGTGACTTTAGTCGTCATTTCAATCAAATAAAAATTTTAATATTAAATAAAAATAACGTTATTTTTTCAGTAAGGAAACGCAGGAGTTTTACGATTTATTTGAGGAGTAGGTTCTGGTTTAAATGTTGGAGTCGGTTTTGGAGTTGACTTTTGAACAGGAGTTTGTACTTCCATAGGTTCAGGAGTCATTGAAGGTGTTGTTTGTGAAGGCGTTGGTTTTGGCGAATGTGTTGGAGTTTGTTTAACTTCAGCTACTTCAGTATTATTTATAACATTTGCTTTATTTCTTTTCAACATCATAACTGCTCCTGCTGTAGCTAGCAAACCTAGTGGGAGACCATATCTTATATAAGGACTTGACCAAATGCTATTTTTGACAGGAGCTGGTGGAACACCTAACCTTGGTGAAACTGCTCTTTGCCATTGTGCAGCTCGTAAGAAATATTCAATAGGTGCTCCATAATCGTTTGGTAAAGTTTGTTTCACAGATGGTGAAGGTTCACGAGAGCTTGATGAAGAACTCATTTATAAGCTTTAAAAATAAACGTTCAT